GTGTCCGCGGATAAGTGTGTCATAAATGTCCGGGGAGATATCCGCGTCTTTTCGTATCAAGTATTCATGAGCAGTGCTGCAGTCTCTGTTGGTACCAATGGCTCTTATACCTTTGGCGGTTTTTTTGTGCTAACGCTGGACTCGGGTTCTAGAACGCAGTTCAGGGTTTAGGCACATTTCTGTCAGAGTAACGCTTTGTACATACTTTTTTTTTCCTCTGACGTCTGTTGCAGACCACAGATCGGCTTGCGGCGAACGAACATTGTCGAAGGCAGGTGTTTCACGCGCCAACTTTTGCAACACAAAAAAGAAAAAAAAAAGAACCGAAAGACATTTGTCGTGGAAATTTATGGGATGAATGGAACATAATTAATTTGGTTGAGACTCAATTTCAGCTTCTCTTCTTGAAGTACACTTTCGTGCACCTACGGCGCAGTGGGTGCAATTTAATATTTCGTTTTGTTTTTACGCATTTTTGGTGCGGGTAGTCGTGCGCAGAGCGTCTTCGATCGCAAGTTCTGGCATAGCTTAGTACAGGTATTGGACCTGGAACATGTCACAAGCGAACAACGGTATCCCCGTCAAATGTTTTTTTTTCCAAATGCTCAATAATAAAAAAAAAAAACTTTTTTTTTTGCATTAAGTTGTTAGCTTGGTTGTGCCATGGCGGTAACAGTAATGGTATACAAAACAAAACAATAACAGAAACAAAATTTTACTGATAGAAAGTTCTAGCGTTATCGTCCCATCGTTAGGGATACCGCCGTGCCGCAACTTGGCCGCTTGAAATGTGCGGCGAAGGCGGGTTTGCGATGAGTGAACAGTGAAACCATTTTGTTTTCATGAATGATGTCTCACACGCTCGGATAACCCGAGCTTCCATAGCAATCAAAAATAAATCTCCGGTTGCATAAAAAAAAAAAAAAAAAATAGAACAACCTAAAAAAAAAAAAAAAACACGCAGTTTCCTTTTTTTTTTTTTATCGCTTTGCACCAATAGGAATTCCGAATATGCAACCGTTTTGATTCCGCCAGTGTTCATTTTCCGGAGTTGTCTTTGCTCATCTGCATCGATAGGAGACGCGGCCATCCGCCATTTTTAATGCTGTTCAGAAAAAAAAAAAAGAAAGTGTGACGCCTTTTTGGTTGTCACAAGAATGCAGACTTTTTGGTTGAAGGTTTATAGAAGGTAATCGAATACGCCAACTGGTTCGCCGATAGGTGTCGCCGAACAATTGCGGAAAAGACCCAATGCCGTGTCCCGTTCCATCGTTTGTTCCGCCTCTGGGTTTCTCTTGGCGAGGAAGAGAGAACACAGATCTAACTTCGATTGCGTTGTTTTTTTTTTATAAGAACACGCGTTCTAATATTTATGTTGTGTGCGTTTTAACAGACTAATTTTACCGGCCAGTTCGGCTATACGCCACCGCTGCCGCAACGCGTTGAGGGAACTTCAGTCTTTCTGCACATGGGACAACCACGCTGGAGTTCTGCGCGCCGGGAGCACGAGCGAGACATCTAGGGCACTACAGCCTGCCTCGTGTGAACCAAAGTTATTGGAGGCTTCACGCATGCGCCGAACACTTGGTGAGATCGGTCTATTCCTAGAACAAAAGGGGGAAGGTACCGCCATAAAATGACGAAGTTAATTAAACAAAGCGGAGTAAACATAAAGTAACCGCAATATGCATAATAATAGAGACACGATCAAGAACAATGTGCCTCTTTGGAACACACCCTCCCCGCGTTCGAGACATGTTCGCCAACGCTTGACCAACGCGTGGACGCCTCGGAAGAAAGTACCTTGCTGGGGACTCCGAAGCCAGGGATTTTATTGGCCGCTTTCAGCTCATATATGCTCTGTACGGAACTTCATTCTGCCGAGAACTTCTTTTGGTGGTTGGAACCATAGAGCCAATAGATGGAGCTACGCTTAGAGCACCGGCACCCCGCTCCCCGATCTGCCCGTGGGCGCAGCCATCTTGGTGCTTAGTGGAGAGCAGGCGCCACTGCCGATCGTCACAATTCAGGAATGCGAGTTCCTCAGCTTTAGGTGCGATGTTAGTACGCTCGAGTGATATCGTTTTGCCTTGTTGCGAACCGTTTGAACGTGTCTGGGGGACGGAAATGCGTTCCCTGCGATGTCAGATAAACTTTCAGATGACTGGCCACCATAATTTTTAGCACCAAGAGGACTGGAGCGCCACACCTTAAAATCAGGGGTCTCCAAATGTTTTGGCTACGGGGCCGGATTAGGAACCTGTTGCAGTCTCGAAGGCCGGAAATTAGATAAGACCAGATGAACGAGGAAATACTAAACAAACAAACCTAAATCAGCATTTAAATAGAGAAATTTAATCTAGAGCAAAAATTTAAAAAGGAATGCAAGGTGGACAAATACGTAAACTTTATTTTTAAGTGCAGTATTTTACTATTTATGACGTTACAAAATAATTTTGACCCCGAGAACTCATCCGACATAAATCAAAGCGCGCAGGAAGTTTGGAATATTCACAGAGTGCACAAGACTAATGAAAATGGTAGTTCAGATCAGATCACGATGCACGATATACGCAAGAACGCGAAGGAATATTTTTTTTATAGTTCAGCAGTCATGAAGCAGGCAACTACAAATAGTAATTCTGGTGCTGACAATTTACAATAAATCAATAAATCGTGTGCCAAGAGAACCGGCGTTTTCATGCAGTTTTTTAGGCATATGTGAATAATAAATTTTGTGTTCGAAGCAAATTCGGAGCAAATAGTGGTTTTGGCGGAATTTTTTTGATTCGAATATCGAATAGTCTCTTCGAGCTTTTCACTAGTGCGCCATGCCTAAATGAAAACCCACGACTCATAAAGGCTGTTCCCAAGCTTCCACTTGTCCATATCTAAGCTAATTTTAATGTATCTATATTTATGGACTGTGACCTCAGAAAGTTCATTGTTCAGATGGGAATGGCAAGTGAAGGATGCATTTGACGTACAATTAAAACCATAGAGAAGTCCAGCTTCACCTAATCTTCCCATGTGCAAATATTTTTTATCAAATATAAAATCTGAAGCAAATAAAAAAAAGGACAATCATGAATGATGAACGTAGGTTGTGAGGCCATCTCTGCCTAACACATACTCTTGCATGATAGTCGCAGTTGAATTTAGAAATTTTTACTGCTGTGTATATATCAACATTCACAAAGTTTCCGTTTCTTTTTACACACACCACGCGCCTGCCTGTGTCATCCCATTTTTAAAGTGGGCTTTTCTCCTAAGAACGTGACTGCAATATTTATATTTTTCGGGAAGTGTTGATCGTGGCGGGTTAGCCCCGTTGAACGCGCTTCGTACCGAGCACCGGCGAAAGCGAGCTCCCCGGGTGTTGTTTCTCCGCAGTGCACTGGAGCTCGGTTAGAAGCGCTCTCAAGGGGCTAACCTGCCCTGGTCAACACTTCGGAAAATACGAGTGTCAGAGTTAATCTCGAAGCGAATATCGAGTTATTCGAAACTACTATTCGAAAATTCGAATATTCGCGCAACACTACAGTTTTCTCTCATTCTTTCTTATACCTTCGCTCGCGCTTTTCGTGCATGTCGCGGCGCTGATTTGTTTTTACGAGCGCTTATTTTTGCGTTGGTATCAGCGCAAGCGAGCGTCACTGGAAAACCGCGGTCATTCGCGGGATGGCCGGAACACCTCCGCAGGACAAATCTGGCCCTCGTGCCGGAGTTTGGAGACCCCTGCTCTAAAGCGTAGTTTATTTAGTGGCTCTAGTTCGAGCAAATCGAAATCGCTCGGTACCAGGCCTTTGAGTATGGCGGATGCGGAATCTGTTGAAAACATAGTTGTTCGACGACAGCACATACGAAAGACTACCACTCTAGGGCACAAGCACACAACATAAAGGAGGGGGGGATATAACACGAACACATTTAAAACACATAAACATGCATCTATGCGTTTTGTGTTGTGCTGGAGTGCTTCTCGTCATGTTTAACTTCCAGCAGACACGATGAACCCTTACATTCCGTTCGTTGAAGCAACACTGAACTCCCCAAATAACATTTTTTTTGAAGTGTCCGAATAAGACACGCATATCAGAAAACAAAATATCCCCCCCCCCCCAAAAAAAAAAAAAAATTATTTTTTTGCAAAACTTGTTTTGAGTTAAATATGTTTTTTTTTTGTTATGTCGATCTTGAAGTTGACGCATATGTTTTGGAGTCAAGTCTCACCACGTAAATATTACGCTAAGAAACGTTTTTTCGGGCATACTCCGTTTTGTGACATATCCGTAAAGATGATTGGAGGAGTTTAATGTCCATTCAACCTCGCTTAGTTTCTAAAAATCCAAAACAGTATAGTAGCTGAAGTTTTTACCTCGTGTTCATCGTCGTGATGACCATGGTTGTAGGGGAGTGGAAAAATAAACATACGGAGAAATCTCCATCCAGTGGCTGTGCTTGGGGACACCTTTCTGGGGAAATAGCGAAGCTCGCGCACCTTAAGCACTAAAAAAACAACAACAACAAAAAACAAAAAAAAGAAACTTTTTTTTTTTGCATTGTCAAAAAAAGTTGTCCCCGTTTTTAAGAATAATATATTTTTTTTTCTTTCTCACTCGCAAAATTTTCAACTCGGCAATCGTCGCGCGCGCAGTGTTTGGCGTGAATGTTATACCCTGGTTGTACTATATCTATTCATTATCATTTTACGCCGTCCGTGGTACTTTTTTCGTGCTCTATAGACTCTAAGGCACAAGAAAACAACGAGCAAAAAAGCTATTAATCGAATAGAAGTTCACAAAACAAGTTCGTCGGATAGAATTCAGTGCGTGACCTTTAAAAACCCCGCGCAACCCACGCTCTGCCAAAGCGAGCGTGTACGGCACTCGCCTTGTCCCCACTCTTCCGTATTAAAGGGTCCCGACGCTTTGTTCGCAGCGCCATCTGGAACCACGCCTGGGAAACTGGCTGTCGGCTTCGCTGGCGGATGGATTGGGCAGCTTCGCTGGCTTCGCTGCCCAGTGCTTGCGTACTGCAGCGGGAAGGGCATAGCGTGGGAGGAGGAAGGGGGCTTTTCAACGGGGAAAGGAGGAAAGCGTCCGCTTCGCACCGGCGGCTTTTCCTTTCTGTATCCGCGCATCACGGAGACCGGCAGCTCGGCGAGGCTCTCTCCAGACAGGGCCGGCTCGCCGCTTTTCCATCGGGGCCCCCCTCCGTAACCGCCTCTCACCGCACCCGTCCCCCCAAAACACAGCTAAAACAGAAAAAAAGCAACAACCAGGTTCTACGCTCGAGCCAGAGGTATCGTCGGGGGTCCACCAAAAAGACATGGCCGAAGCCGCGGAATACTCCGAGGTGCCCCAACATGAAGAGAAGGAGAAGGCGGCGGCGGCTGACAACAGCGATGTGATCTGCCTCAAGCCCAAGATGACGCTGGTGAACGGCATCACAGTGATCGTGGGTAGCATCATCGGGTCCGGCATCTTCGTATCGCCGCGCGGCGTGCTGGCCAACACCGGCAGCGTCGGAGCCTCGCTCGTGGTCTGGGTCGCCTGCGGCATCTTTTCCATGATCGGCGCCTACTGCTACGCCGAGCTGGGCTGCATGATCACCAAGTGAGTCTGCCGGCTTGCCTTTCCCCTTTGCACCACTCGCACCCGCAATTCGTGTGTTGCTTTTGAAGTATCCACCAAAAACCGCAGGCAGCGTTTCTTTCTTTTATTTCTAAGGCGTCAATCTAGGCGAAATTTTAGGTGTGGAAAGATGAGGAATTATAAAATATGATTAGGCTGAGCTGTACGGCATGATCGCCAGATGAGTTTGCATTTATGCATTTTGCTTCTTTACACCATCGCAATTCCTCTAGTGTCCGCTTAATGGAAGTGTAAATTCTAAGTGTGCAAATCAGATTAGTTGTTATTAATGAGCGTGAGAGCGAAATAATTAGATGTGAGACACCGGAGATAACCGATTGAGTTTATTTTTAATTATTCGAGTATGTGGTCACATCTTTCCTATAGGTAATTCTAAACATGATTTTAAGCGTGAGTCAAAGTTTGAGTGTGGAGATGAGAGTAATTAAAACATATTTGAGCTCGGCTGAGATGTGCATTTGGGGTTCAGTAACCTTTTTGTTCACATTTATCTTTACATCCTTCCTAGACATAATTCTGATCGTTTTTTTAAAAAGCGACTTGAGGTTCAAAGGGCGATTTTAAGCGCGAGTTAAGATTTAATCACAAAAATCGGACTAATTCGTTCGTTTGCCCCTCTGTAATTTACGCGATAATAATAATAAAAAGCTACTCTAGGTTTGGTACGCTCTTCCTATTGATTTCTAACCGCATCAATGGGATTGTAATAGACAAAAGCAAGCATATAAAAGCCAATTTCGCGAGATTTCTATAATTTACACTCAAAAATATGTTTGTCCTTCGTGTGTAAACTTGGATGATACAAATATTTTTTGAAGATTGTCTACATATGCGCAAATTCATCTTAAGGGTCACAATATGCTGGTTTGTAATTGGAGCATGAAGCTGTAAAATTAAAACCTGACCTTTAAAAAAAATGTTGGTGTTTCGCGTATTAAGTTCTAAAAGCAGATAATTTCCGAAACAAATGTTTGCAAACGTTTGAGACGTGTAAGAATTACAGCGTTATGTTTTGTAAGTAAGGTTTGATCTTTTCAAATACGAGGAAAAAAGAGTTTGACAATATCTTTCGGTGTGGCGTGGTCGCCGGGTGGAAACCCTTGTTCTAAAATTATTGCGTAATCTTGTGTCTGCACTGCGCAGCGAAGCTTTCGCTATTTCCGCTCGTGTTTTACCCTCAATCAAAATTATCGTTTTTTCGCTAAAAAAAGGATCGAGTTCGTAAAGATAGTATGACAATAAGCTTCAAACATTTATTGTTTCATTATACACGTTGCATCGTTCAATGAAGATAAGAAAGTGGATGACGCAAGACAAAGGCTTCTTTGCAGACGAACCTTGATAAGGAATAAAATCGGCCATTGCATTTTTTCTTTATCTTCGAGACTGTCGAGCGCTCGATCTTTTCTTGTTAATTTTTAAAGTCTGCGCTATTTTTGTTTGCGTTTTAGGAAAACGGGCCGTGGCATATGAACTTAAGATTGTGAAAACTGCATATTGCATCATCCTGTGACAAAGCGAAGGCTGTTGACTGTGCTTACAAATGTGCGATGTACGGACTCTGCAAATAAAAATACTAAGATTGAAGAAATCCCTATCAGTCGTTACCAGCTTTTGAGTAGTGATATACGGATGCAACCTCCGTAAAAGTCTCTTTTATAAGTAACGCTTCTCAACCGTAGGTGCTGCAGCCTTAGATGCTGATCTACTGCGGTTCGGATTGAGGTCACGTAAACCCGTGTTCGATTATCGACGGTTTGGAGATAATCGAACTTGCGTTACAATGAACAGTATTATCAGAAAGTCCAGACCTTGATTGTTGGGGCGCTAATGTTACATTTCTAGATAGACCTAGATAGTCTTGGCAAACGTATGTCGCCATTTCTTTTTTGACCCTAACATGTTTGCAGGAATCGAATCGTCCGTTGTGGTTTCATTATGCTCAATAGTTAACGTTTCGTCCATATCCACAATATAGCATGGCAATAAAATACTTCCAAATGTGCTAGGTCCGATCAGGGTTGTCGGAATTGCGTGGGATAACATTCGGGAGAAAGGGGGATTTTGCTTCCCTTACTCCAGAATTTTTACTTAAAATGTCGGAAATGTTGAGGGGGGGGGGGGGGCAGGCAGAGGCAAATCCCCCCCCCCCCCCCTCCCCGCCCCGCTTTTTGACTCCGTGGCTCTAACCCGTCCTATAGAACATCTCTGCACACGATATATAATTAGAGAACCATCCGAATTCCGCCTTTATAAGCGCTTTCGCCGATTTAGCGCCTGAAAATGGTACGCGTTGGCTGCTAACGATTATTAATTGGTTACTAATTTGTAATTACTATTAACGATTGCGAGGGAAAAAAGTAGTTTAGAGGGCTAAACATTTTCGAAATATCCACGCTTTACTCTTTTCTGCACGCTATTTATTACCTTAAATTCGAAATAGCCATTCAGAAAACGGCTGATGAAGGTTACGGCCCAAACCAACCTTCAGATTTTCTTGCGCTCTCCAGTGGAGGGACGTCACGTGTTGTGTTCACGGCGAGAAGTTTGGGTGTCGCCGCCTGGTGGAATTTCTTCCCAAACCAGAGTGAGGATTCTTCCTCTGCTGGTGATCAAAAAAATTTTGATGTTTTTGATGTGACGATGTTTCCTACATGGGAGACGAAACGTTTGATTAAATTGTTAATCTTGTTGAGTAAAGTCGGAGCAGTTTTTTGATCATTATGATTCCCGGCTTTTGGAATATTTTTGCATTCCTCTGCTGGTGCAAGCACGTGCAATGCCGAGCTTCTATGGATATAGAAAAAGGAAAGCATAATCACGTGGGTAGCACGTGCAGTACACCCAAAGGGAGGAAAAGAAAAGCGCCCCTGGCGAGCTTCTCACCGCGCATAACATGCAAGTCGAGCAGGCAGTCTTAAGAACGCAATAATTTGCGCGTTTCTTGCCCCCCTCCAATCACAACATTTGACGACACGTCTTCAGCGTTGTCACTAGAGCCTCTAGCCTTTCTAAGTTAATAGTCCACATGTGTCTATTAATGTGCCGAACCAATCTTGAGGCAGGTCAGGGGCTCTACCAATGCTTCGCCTTTAATTGGGGGCGGTGAGTGCTGGCCGATTCTTTTATCTCACGAACAATGCTCGAGTCAAACATCGGACGCAAGTTACGGAACAAAAGATGCTCGCAAACGCCGTTTTCACCTGCGTCGCTGTTCGTCGATGCTTTCATCAGTCCAATGACGCAGGGAACAAAATGTATGCGCGTTTAAACGCTGTTTCGGCTGCTGCCATTGTTTACTTCTGTTTAGCGACGCTGGATGAATTTTCGGTTTCCGCAACTTTCTTTATTTGCACATTAATTGCCCCTCTGTTATTAGACTTATCGTAATTATAAATTAAACGAGCCATACTTCATCTCCTGCAGAGGAGCGGGGGGACATTTGCCTACCTGATGTTTTTGACTAGGCTCTTTTGGAATTCGCTCGCTACACCTTTGACCAGCCCACGTATTAAAGGTGAGGATCCTGGTAGTATGCTACACATATGTTACGGAATTCGCACTTAAGTTTTATGATACGTAATATGCAAGATAACAATAATATAAAGTAATCATAATTGTATGATTAAATATATAACAGTTCTCATGAATTAAAAAAAAAAAGAAAATCCGTCTCTGTTACACATGCCACGAAATATGTAGCGGAGTGTTATTTGTACTATCTAAAATTACAATCACGCTAGTTAATTAGTGAATTATATCTTTAGATAAATCACAATCTCAATAAGTTTAAGAAAAAACTACAATGTGATTTTGCTACAAACCAAAAAATGCTTATAACATAGTTGACAACGGCAAACGCTTCCCATGTTAAAAAAAAGATATTGGCGCGTCTGATACGCTGACATTAAAATCGATTAATTTGAGGATAATATATATATATATATATATATATATATATATATATATATATATATATATATATATATATATATATATATATATATATATGTTGTCCGAGTTTCGTTTGATTAGACCAGATTATAGCTGCGCATTAATTTTCAAAAATTTTTCAGTTGAGTTAAAAGAACAAAATTATCTTCTTAGTTTGGTTCTAGTCTCCGAAGGATTCTCTGTGAATCATTTTTCTTTCAGGGAAGCCTGTATGTCTAGCTACGACTGCGTGTGCGGCCGCTGGTCACGCAGTGCTTTAATTCTCATTCTCAAAGTGAAGAAGGGCGAAACGAGGAATTAGAATCTAACAGGGGGTCTTATCTGATGAACAACTATACGCTTCCGGAATATAATGTGGGCAAATCGCCGGGTCGCGACGGTGGCTGTGACTCGTTTATGCAAAGTAGCTTTAGCAATCTCCGGAATAAGTGATATCCCTACGCACGTTTTGGTCGCACATGGTTGTTTTATGGCCCCGTTGATTCTGGAGACGTGACTGAACTTAAGAAAAAAGAAAGTTCAGTTGAGCAATCAGTACGATTTCACCAAACCACTTAACTGCGCAAAGCGTCCGGCGGAAAGAATTCGTTGTAGTTTCCCGAAGACAGCTGCGACAGACAGAAAATGTACTGCACCGTCATATCGCGGATATTCATGTTTTGAGTTCGTCGGCACTTCTAGGGAAAATAAAATAGTGGTTTGTCTTTGGTAACTTAATTAGCCCAGAACTGATTGACGATAAACAATTTGATATGCAAGACGCCATGCACAGTGTACGTTGATGGATAGCTTGCTCTGTAATGAGACGGACCAACGCTTCATAATAAAGACGTATAGTGCTCAGCTATCGGCGTCACCCAAAAGAAACCCGACGTCGGGCAGAAATTGGACGGGATCGTTGCCTCAACGTTTCGGCTGGGACTCGGGCCTAATCAGCGAGAAGACGAGTCCCAGACCTCTGACGTAGCACCCCAAGCAGCACAGAGTTGGCCAGTCATCGGCCAATG